GTGTTCAGGGTTGCAGGGGGGTTCAGGGGGGCATGAACTCCTGAATTTTACAATAATTTGATGTTTTGCAGTCAGGTTGCATCCCTGTTGTTCTTTGTGTTGCCTGTTTGGTCATCAAGACTTCCGGATTTCTTGTTCTCTGGATGTAAACAAATGGGTGGTGGACTTTAACTTTAACAAACGGAACTACAAAGACAAAGATCACCTATCTAGATCTAGAAATCTAATATACGTGACACCGGAGAATAGCCTATCAATCTATTGGCCGGCGCGACACCGGAGAATAGCCACTTCTTTGTCTCAGCCTTCACTCAGTTCAGTTCCATGATCTTCTTCGGAGTGCACTCAGAAGGGGGGGGAGAAACTTCAAATCATTTGACAATCTGATTTGTGGTGTGGGGGCACGGAAGCGCGGCAGTGGCAAATCAATAACACAAAATCTCTGGTTCTTAATTAAATTGAATTAAATCAAGATTCGAAAGCATTGTATTAGTTGGACTCACCCTTTCCTCATCTTCCCGATCAGCATATTTAGCAAGCTCAATTTCCTTGCAGGTTTTTGCCTCCTTCCTTGTCTCGCAGTCAGGGTTGTGGTTAGTGGTAAATAAATCAATAACAGACAGCAGCAGTCGGAAAATGAATAAAATGATTTTTGGGATTTCATATACAGGAGAACTTGACACAACTTCCTTTAGATAAAATAAATTATGCGAATCACGTCGTTCGCAAAACAATTAGATCTATATTCTAGATCTATAGCATAATATTATTATTACTATTTTTTCCTATAATATTTAATTATATACAGTGTGTAGTTGTTGTTGTTGTTTTTTTATTCTCAGAAATAAAATAATGTTTATTAATATTGATAATAACCGCATGGAAACTGAGAAGCTGGTTATTATGATTCTTTTATATTATGACTTTTATGTCAATGTGAAAATCTATTAAAGCCAATAAGGCTTACCACAAGACAAAGAAATACAAGTACGAATAATAATAATAATAATAATGATAATAATAGTAGTAGTAATAATGATAATAATGATAACAATAACAATAATAATAATAATAATAATAATAATAATAATAATAATAATAATAATAATAATAATGATGATAATGATAATAATAATAATAATAATAATAATAATAATAGTAATAGTAATAATAATAATAATTTATATCATCATCATCATCATCATCATCATCATCATCACATCAACATCATCATCATCACATCATCATCATCATCATCATCATCATCATCATCAATATGTTATTATTATTATTATTATTATTATTATTATTATTATTATTATTATTATTATTATTATTATTGTTACTATGTTTCCCTGTCAAGGTAGTTATAAACAGAAGTAACCTAAATTGAAAGAACTAAGGAAGTGTTCGTCATAGGGTTTTTGCAGTCAACTTTGGGCATTGACTTACAACGAATTTTGATAACCAAAAAACGGGCATTCCAGGGGTAAATCTGTCTCACCGAGCATCTCACCATTAAAGTGTCACTTGGAACAAATTTAGCGTCAAACGAGAGGCAAATAGGGACGAATATGTTAATGATTAGGCCTCCTGTATCGATTAGCCTGCAGTTCATACGCACAGTAGGCCTACGTGGTACCGTATATTTTACAAAGTTCTATCTACTCTACCTAGTTTTGATAAATTTGACAGAAAAAAAATATTAATTGAGTTTAACAACGCGTCAAGCTTCTTCGAAGGCAATTTTTTGACACTTGATAACGACCCTGAATAATTTTGAAACTATTTTGAAAGAGCAGTTATATATTATATATTTTAGAACATTAGCTTTCTGACCAAAATTAAAAGGTCTTGTAATACGTTGACTCATAACGGCTAAAAATGGCAGACATAACTTTGTAATTCGAAGGTAGCGACTAGTGTTCTCCATTCCATTCACTGTTTGCGATTTGCGTGATGGTGTTGAATGTTACGATAATTAAAATTAAAATTTTATTAAGCTTATTACACAATCTAATAAGGGAAATAACCAAATATATATAACCTTTATTTGCATTCTGTCTATTACGCCCCCTTGTAACATTTTGGATTGGCGAACTCCAACAGAGTTATTGATGACGACAACTACTATTATTATCATAATCATTACTCCTCCTCCTCCTCCTCCTCCTCCTCCTCCTCCTCCTTCCCCTCCACCTCCTCCTCCTCCTCCTCCTTCCCCTCCACCTCCTCCTCCTCCTATTCCTCCTCTTCCTTCTAATCCTCCTCCTCCTCCTTCCCCTCCTCCTCCTCCTCCTCCTCCTCCTCCTCCTCCTCCTCCTCTTCCTCTTCCTCGTCTTCTTCTTCTCCTC